CTGTTTTTTAAATCCTCCCTGGTATGTATACAAAAACAAATACCTGTATTTAAAAATATAAGTTTTTTTACCATTTGACCCAGGAATTCCACTCCTAGGAATTTACCCTAAGAACGCAGCAATCAAGTTTGAGAAAGACAGATGCACCCCTATGTTTATCGCAGCACTATTTACAATAGCCAAGAATTGGAAGCAACCTAAATGTCCATCGGTAGATGAATGGATAAAGAAGATGTGGTACATATACACAATGGAATACTACTCAGCCATAAGAAGTGGAAAAATCCAACCATTTGCAGCAACATGGATGGAGCTGGAGAGTATTATGCTCAGTGAAATAAGCCAAGCGGAGAAAGAGAAATACCAAATGATTTCACTCATCTGAGGAGTATAGGAACAAAGGAAAAACTGAAGGAACAAAACAGCAGCAGAATTACAGAACCCAAAAATGGACTAACAGGTACCAAAGGGAAAGGAACTGGGGAGGATGGGTGGGCAGGGAGGGATAAGGGGGGGGAAGAAGAAGGGGGGTATTAAGATTAGCATGCATGGGGGGGAGGGAGAAAGGGGAGGGTGGGCTGCACAACACAGAGAGGACAAGTAGTGACTCTACAACATTTTGCTAAGCTGATGGACAGTAACCGTAATGTGGTTGTTAGGGGGGACCTGATATAGGGGAGAGCATAGTAAACATAGTATTCTTCAGGTAAGTGTAGATTAAAATTTAAAAAAAAAAAAGAAAGAAAGAAAGAAAAGGGGGATTACTCCTTAACAGGATAAAACTATTGGTAAATCAAAGATCAACGCATGCTTTAAATATCCTTAATGTTGATCACTTAAAGGGTGTCAGATGATCAGCTATGGAGGTACTCTTTTCTGATAATATTCCTTTCTCTTAATTAAAAAAAAAAAAAAAAAGCAGTTACTGTGTGCTGACCTCCAATGAGTTCTGCACAGTGGTATAGAGGGCATGTCAAAGTGTGGGCAAAGGGTCTGTTTGTTTCTACGCAGAAGATCAAGGCCTAGCTTGGATACCCAGAAAATGAACTAAGATACGATATGAGGAGGAGCTTCCGGCATCAGCACTCTCTGGAGGACTTGTGCCGGGGGATGATCATCAAAAAGCCTCCACAGGGATCCGGACGATGCTGCGGTTGTGGCTGCATCCAGCCCACCGTCTCCTGGACTTGCCATAAGAATGAGGAGGGAGATGTCTAGGCTGGCATGTGCATACAGTGAGACAACGAATTTGACCGGATCTGTACTGTTGGAACTCAACCAGGAGTTGGGAGGGGTGCAAGTTGTAGCACTCCAAAATCTCATGACTATAGACTATCTATGGTTAAAAGAACATATGGGATGTGAACAGATCCCAGAAATGGGCTGCTTTAATTTGTCTGATGGTTCAAGTACAGTTGGACAATATCCATCATATCATAGATAAATTTTCACAAATGCCTAGGGTGCCTAAATGGTTTTCTTGGCTTCACTGGAGATGGCTGGTAATTATAGATTTGCTTTGTTTATGTCACCGTATTCCTATTATGTTAATATGTGTGTGCAAATTAGTTAGTAGTTTAAAACCTATACATACTTAAGGTACTATACAAGAAGATATGTCAAAGAAATAATCAATCCTCCCAAGTTTCCTTCATATGCTACATCTATAGCTTTTCTTCTTCCTTCCTAATTACAACCCTTAAATAGAATTCGTGCCTCATATCGAATTTACCGAGTATCATAATTCCTCCAGGTGGTAAAGATACCTCGAGACAAGTGCTGGGCATAGAAGCCACAGGGCATAAATCTGCAAAGAAGTAAAAAGCTAACCTTTTCAAACAATATGGCTTCTCTCTCACTTACCAACTTTACATTTCCCTGTATGGCCCCGGAAGATGACTGGTTAGCCAGAGACGGGTAAGATTCCTCAAGGGAGGAACAACCTAAGACAGGCACAGTCGCAGGGGGGCCATCAGGTGAGAAATTGGGGATCAACAGAGGTGAGGCTTAGAACCTCACCCCCCCTGTTTTGAGAGAAATCTTCTGCATCCGTGGATGTTTTATTGCCCTTGTCTAGCTTGGATTAACACATAGTCTACAGGCACACACCTGATCATCTACATTTGCTCTCTTACAACACTAAACTATGTTTTCTACCTTTATCTTGCATCTACCTACCACTTCAGCATTTTATTAAAAAAAATAATAATAATAATAATAAAGGGAGAAATGTGGGATCCACATATAAATCAAGTATAAAAATCAAACAAATATTCATATTTGACCTGATTGTTTATAGTTCATAATGCGTGATCAAAACCGAAAGTTTCTGTGATGACTGCCCTTGCACTGTTCACCATGTAAGAACTTATTCACTATGTAAGAATTCGTTCACTATGTAAGAACTTGTTCATTATGCTTCAGAAGATTGGAGACTGATGAGAATTAGGCTTGGGGGGTGGATTAATGATTGTGCATTGAGCATTGACCCCCCCCATACAGAATTTTATTGTTGTTAACAACCATTTGATCAATAAATATGAGAGATGCCCTCTCAAAAAAAAAAAAAAATTAGTTTTAAGCATACTTAAATAGAAGGCAGAGCTGTTCATTAATAGCCACTGAAAATCCATCAGACCCGTCCCAAAGTTATGAGGATCAGAAAATGGGCATTAAAAGTAGTCTACTGCTCCCACTTAGAAGTCTCCAAAGCAAAAAAAAAGTCTTCAAAGTATCTGAAGGTGAATGTAAATTTGGGTGACTGAAGATCCAGTGGCAGCCTTTCACCGATAAAATCAAAGAGTTTGAAGGATCTTAGTTCTTGACTTGCACTCCAGTTTCCTGCTGCTAATGGAGCTGGGCCCACAACCACAGGCAATTCAGACGGAGCACTAATTCCCACTCAGCCTCTATTTTGCTAGGAATTAAAGTCGGACAGTGAAGTCTGAATTGGAAAATACCATACCACTGAAAATTGTTTTAAATACCACTATTGTCTTCATTATGAGTTATATATAAACTAATGGGAAATTTATTTCTTAGCCTTTTCATGAGAAAATTATGAGCAATTCTGAAAGGCAAGGGGAAACTGGAAGGAAGGAAAAAGGAGGCGATGTGATGTAGCAGAGGAGCACCGAAGTAAGGTGGAGAAAAGCACCTACAAAAGCATCCCCAACTGTAACTCAAGACTACCTTTTAGTTAGAGGGTAACATAGGAGCCATGAAAAGCCACACCATCCAAGAGGATGAAACCCAACAATGAAGACAAATTGTATGTTTTTATTGTCTCAAGGTGGGATTTTGGATTTTTGAAGACTTCTTAATCCTTTCTTAGTGGTCTTCAAATAAATCCTTAAGACTTAAGAATGAAAACAGACCATTATTTCCCTCACAGAATCTTAGTCAATGTTTATTGAATGTAAGGCACTGGATTAGATATTATTTATAAAGTAACAAATCAGGTAAGTGGAAAGGTATTTTCTATAATATCAAAAATTAATAACACCTCAAATGGATATGATCAAATAAATCACATGCTTTAAAAGTGCAAATATTAAAAATGACTATTAAGGGTACAACATTGTCAATGTTCTTTTGAGTATGCAAGTATTACATTTATTAACTAAACATAATTATACCATCTCTGGACCAAGGATGAACCTGAAGTCCAAAGAGAGAAAAAAGGTGTCTATTTTACTTACTGTATGAAAAAAAGTGAACTAAAACCATGAAAAGGATGAGAAGATAAAGGGGGTAAGCAGAAGAAAGCTAAAACCCTTATAAAAGCAACACAAAAGGCATTGCTCAAAATTAGTAACTCAGAATACACACTGTTTAGAAATATGGTTGTAAATAACAAGAAACAGCTATGAGTTCAAAGTAACTAGTTGTCTCTAGGGAAAGCGAGTGGGAGCATTTTTTAGTTTTAAGTCTTCTAACACTTTTTGCCTTTTAAATTATGTATATGTACCATACTGATAAAAAATTAAAAACCAAAAAAAAACAAACTCAACATATATTCAGAAACCAGAATTTCATGTTCTATTTCATGTTTTCTCCTAGGACTATCCTTCAAATCTCGTATTTCTAGAACTACTTAATTGCTTCCCTTTAAAAATTGCTTCCCTATTTAACACACACAAAAGAATAGAGAAAAATATAAACAACCATCCCAACCTTTCAGATTTCAGAAGTTTACATTTTGACCTAATTGCTTTTTTATTTAAGAAATAAAGTATTATAGATATCCTTGAATACTATTCACTTAAAAAAATTAAGTGGTAGGTTCCAAATGTTTCTTAATTACATATTAATTATACCCAAATGAAGTTGTTAAAAATATTAAAAATGCACATTTATTCAGAACCTACTATATACCAGGCACGATTCTAGGTGCTTAGGATACATAACTGAACAAAACAGACAAAAGATCCTAGCCCTGTGGACATTGCCCTTTGGTCACACTGTTAATTGACAATTTTCCAACATTATTTTCAACTACTCTGAAATAATCCCTTAGTTTAGATAGATATGATCCTTCGCTGTCTCCTAAAGGTAACATATTCATTCCACATCTGTTTACATTGTAACCACCTTTTGGCATTCAAATCCAAATTATTCAAGTCTCAACTCAGCCCAAGATCCACCTCTATCATAAAGGTGAAATTAAAAATTTTTTATTAATATTCCTCTCTTAAAACACTTACATTTTTGGCACTTAAATCATACTGCATGATATTGTTTTCTATCATTTCTTCTAGCTTTTTCTACTGGATCTAAGATCCTTGAGGAGAGGTATGATTTACCCCATTTCCTGTTTCTTCCACAGGCTAGCAAGTACAAAGAAAAGAATAGCCATCATTAAAGTATTTCACTATGTTTCTTATTGATAGGTTATTGTTCTCTAGCAACTTACTAATATTTTTCGGCATTTCAGTTATAAGCTACTGATAAACTGTTTTTACTTATTTTATGACAGCAAAAGAGAATGAAGAACAGACCTTGGATTCAAACTAACTTGTACTGGAATACTGGCTACATCATTTTTGAGCTGGATGACTTCACACACGTTACTGAACTTCTCCAAGTCCCAGATGCCTAACCTGTAACGTGAAGACATCATGTTTATTTTATTATTAACTATCCTCCTCATAAGGTAATTATACTCCACAAAAGGTTGTTCTGAATACTAAAGGAGATACTGAGTACAATAAAGTTATGCTCCTTTCTCTTTTCTTATCCCTCCCCTCATAACCTCTATTACAAGGATTGGTTAAGAAACACCTTCAGACTTGGTCTTAAAAGTTTTAATTTTGACAAGGCCTTTGCAATTTTACTTTTGATTTCACTAATTAAATTTTAAAAGAACATTTATATACTTACTGAACCCCCCACCACTCTGTGGGAGGCACTGGTTTAGAGCTAATGATATAAAATAAAGGTCAATAGGACACTCTCTATTCAAGAAGTTTATAGATTAACCAAGAAAAATAATACTTCATTACTAATTGCAAACATGGCACAGAATTATGAAGTAAAAACTGATTCTAACATGGATGTCAATATTTCCTTAAGTATTTTCTATCATAAATTAGTAATACATAAATGAGCCATGTAAAATTAATTTGTATCAATTGAATGAGCTTCTACAATCACCACTGTCATATGAAATGAACAAACGTACCTTACGTACTATAGAGTTTAAAAAAACCACCTGCCAAGTATCTATGCTACCAGCATGAAGTCGGACATCAGAATGGGCAGTGAACACAATTTCCTTCAGTATACTCCCAATTAGTACCACTACCATCTTACATTTGTATTGTATTTCACAATTTACTGAACACCTTCCCAAATATTATCCCACTTACTCCCAACAACTGCAGTGATAAAAACCAGTCAGGAGACAGAGTAGACTGAGCTTTTGGGAACATATCCACTAAAAGGAAAACCCAGTCAAAATAGATTTATACAACTAAGAAATGCAGTCTTTTTAACATATAACTAGAAGAGAAAAAGCTTGTAAGTTACCAATTTTACTTATTTTTTTGAACAAACTACAGGCTTTTTTTTTAAGATTATGTATTCATATAAAAATATTATACCACTGGGCACACTATCTTTATGTAGAGGCTAAAAGTTTCTCTTTAGAAATAAAGCCGTTTCCTGGCATTAAAGACAAGGGAAAAGAAACCAAGGATCACATTTCCATGCAGAGTTCCTTTCGCTTAGTTCTTCTTCAGAATGGGATTTGGGTTCTCAGTCTCTAAGTACAAACTATGGTAGCATCAAAACAAACACTTTAAAAGGCAGTTTATTTGTATATTTTATTGATTCTAGTTTACTATTAAGTAATAAATGAAATCTTTTGAAAAGTTTCAGCTTATCTTAGTTGTAATCATACTAATGAAGAAGATACCTTCTTCTAGAAAAAAACTATTGAGGGAATTATATGCAAAAGGACCAAAATGATGGTGATGTAAGTAATTTAAATGGGAAAATCCTAGGGGAAAGGTGAAAGCAGGGACTGCCAAGGTCACTGAATCAGCCATTGTTTGACCCCAAGACATTCTCATTCCAGGGCTCCATATTGAACTGTTACCTACCTTGCAAAACCCACCTCAGATACAAGCTTTAGAAAACCTTCCACAAATACTCCAAAAGATGTAAATACAGCTACTAGCAGCACAGTGAGGAGATGAGTCATTGTACTCTTAGTATTCGCCCTCTCTTCACAGTCCCAAGTCTAGTCTCAACTGTCACCTCCAGGTGGTTTCCTCACATCCATTCTTGTCCCGATCCAACCTACTTTCCACAGAGAAGTCAGCATGACCTTTTTGATTATGATCAAAATTGAATTGTGGGACTTCCCTGCTTAAAACCCTTCAATACTTCCCCCATTGATCTCGGAATACGGCCCAAGAGGATAATGTTAAGGGGAGTTCACTGTACTGTTGTCTCGTTACATTTTAATGGCTTGAAAATTGTTTAAAGGCGGTCCCAAACCCTTAACATCGTTTAAAAGGCCTCCCACCATCTCTCTGGCACTAACCACAGCCCCCTTTTGCTTTCTGCACTTAATGCAACTGCTAAGACCTTTCAGTTCCCACAACCTTCTCTAATCTCTATGGAACCTATTTCCGTTGCCTGGCCCTTTCTTCCCCACGTTGGGAGTCATCTTTGCCTAATTCCTACTTAACCATAATATTTCAGCTCAAAGATTACTTTCCTAGGAAAATCTTAACGAATTTCCCCAGATGGGATTAAGTCCCCCTGCTACACGTTCTCCACAACACCCTACCAATCCTTCCTTTTTTAAGCTGTCTAGAATTACTGGCATTTACTTGTGTGATTATTTACTATCTGCTTCCCCCTATTACAATGTAATGTCCTTAAAGGCAAAATCTATACTGGTCACCAACATTTCGTTAGCACTCAGCACACAGTAGGTACTAAATAATTTGGATGATGATACTGAGTAATTAACATTAAACATTACGTATCTAAAGTATGCATGTAAAATATTTACCACAGTGCAGGGCTGAGCCAGCGCTCAATAAGCGTTAGTTTTTGTTAATACTGTATTCCGCCTTGTATCATAATTGTGTGCGTATCACTCCCTCCTGCATACAATTCCTACTCATTTTTGGATTCCGTCAATGCCTAGTACTAACTTTAGAGTTCTGCATGGGTGCTCAGTATTCACTGGATTGCCTTTTAAATTAGTATGACTTACAGCATATTTAGACCTTTTCCCGTTAAAACTAAAGTAGAATTTAAAAACTGATGAACACATCAGACACTTAAGCCATTACCATGAAATAAGCTGCTTTTCACGTCGCTAATACAACCAGTCGTATTCACAGTTCCACATCGACATGAATACGCTCAGTTTCCTATATTTATTTCCAGTTATCTCTAAACAGGACGGAACTGACGCTGGACGCCACGCTTATGTTCATCATTGCCAACAAGTAATAATGGCCAGAAAAATGCGAATAGTCAGAAAATGGACATACAGAAAAAAAAAAAAAGGAAAATAGCGACAATCAAATCTACAGTCTAAAAGAAAGTGAGTTGTGGACGACGAGTAATGAAGTTAACTAAGAATGTACACCCAACACAGGCATGCTTTTTATTTCCTAACTCCTTTTGCGATGTCCGCCTTTGGAAAGGGGGACATTTTGAGAGCACGTACGTAGAAGTTTCTGAGCCCATCGGAACGAGAAAACCCACCGATGTGCCTTCACCATGAAGCGCGGCTCATCCGGGCTGGACCGGAGTCTCTCCCGGCCGCCGCCCGACAGCGCGCTTCCAGGTCGCAGCATCCGGGGCTGAAGCCCTCGCGACCGCGGGCTCTCAGGACACAAAGACGAGCGCGGCCGCGCCGTCCGGCCCGGGAAACGCCCGCCCACACCCGGCGGCCGGCCCGACGCGGCGCGGCCTCAGGACACTTACCCCCGGGCGCGGCCGCTGGAAGTGGTCGCGCCGCGCCGTCGCCCCGGGGCCTCATCCTCAATTCGCCCAGGGGCCGCGGGCGCCCCCGCCGCTGCTGGGGTCGAGCCCCTCGGACGGGGAGCACCGCCACCGCCTGAGCCTCTCAGGATCGGCGGCCGCGCCACCGGGACCCGGCCCGCCTCCCTCAGTCACCGCAGCCCGGCGCCGTGCACGCGCCGAGGCCGGGTCTGCGCAGATGCGCGCGCGCGCGCGCGCGGGTGGGGCTGCCCCGGCCGGCCGCCGGGGCCCTTGGCGTTCTGCGCAGTAATGGCGGCGGGCTCTTTCTCCGGTCGTCGTCGCGGCTTGCTGCCTCTTCACGCGGCGCGGAAAATGCACGTGCAGGCTCGCCTGAGAACCCAGCGACCCCTTGTGTACCTCGTTAGCCTCAGGCTGAATCCGTGGAGAGACTTCCCTGCATTCTGATAGTGTTGAACTCTACCTGAGCCCTATGATTCTGGAAGGCCACGGTTAAAGAAATCCTCCCACCCCTTTGTGTACCTGAGAGTGTTTACAGCGAGGAACCACCCTTCCCTATCTGATGTAGATATGACTCACGGATGCCCCCTTTATTTACCTTTGACAAAGTCAGGCACAGACCCTCCAAATTCCCCTTCTTTTTGCCTCATAAATTACTAGCTGAACTGATTGTACTCACTGACCAACCTGGACAAAATGAAGGCTTCCTTGACTTTACCAAACTTTTTATTTCCTTCATCCAGGCCCCCAAACTTTGACACACCCTCAGTCTGAACCAGCATTCTTACCTACCATTTCTGAAAATAGGCTGACCCTCCATGTAGAACATCTTTGATCTGCAGTGTCATCACTGACACCTCCACCCATTCATCCCACTACCGCACACCCAGATCTTTAGCCTTTGTTCACCCCTCGCTATAAAAGAAAACCTCGTTCTGTCTGACCCTGGAGAGTTACAGAATTCGTGGTCTATAGTTTTCCTCTAGCTATAGTCATTCGCTCACCCCCCACACCCCATGGCTATAGTCCCTTTTCCCTCTTGTAATAATCTTCCAGTAAATTCTCTTCACCTAAATCCAGATTTATTTGATAGTTGAGCATTCTCCGTATTGTAATTGTCCTTCTCCTTTGTTGAAATAATCTTTTTCCCCCACCCTGCTGCAATAATATTTTCAAATAAAGTCCTGATTTGCCTAAATAGTAATTTTTTACTTGACAGTTTTTAGTGCCTGGATTCAAATTGAGATTAAGCCTCGTCTGTGGACCCCAGCCATCCTCACCAAGGTAAAGCTACCTTCTGAGTCCTTTTAACTCAACTGCTGTTCAGTGATTCTGGAATCCAGTGGTGAGTTCAGTTTTCAAACCAGTGCTCCAGAAGCTTTGTGTGTTGGAGCCCAGGGTAAGGAGATACTCTGATACCTTTGGGCAAAGACTTTTCTTCAGCCCTTATGTGACACCTCTCCTCTTTTTTTTTTGGTCCCAGCATCATTTCATAGAGAAGATTCTTTCCTTGTTCAAAACCAGTTGACCATAAATGTACTGGTTTATTTCTGGACTCTCAAAATTCTATTTCATTTATCTATATACATCTATCCTTATGCCAGTACTATAATATTTTAATTACTATAGCTTTGTAGTAGGTTTTGAAATCATAAAGTGTTAGTCTTTCAACTTTGTTTTTTTTGAAGGTTAATTTGGTTATTCCAGGGCCCTTGCAATTAGGATCAACTCTTCCATTTCTGTTAAAAAAGGCCATTGGGATTTTGATAGAGATTGCATTAAATCAGTAGATCAATTTGAAAGTAGTGACATTTTAACAGTATTAAGTTTTTCAACCCATGAACATGGATGTCCTTCCAAATACTTAGGTCTTTTTTAATTTCTTTTAGCAGTGTTTTGTAGTTTTCAATGTGCAAGTCTTATACCTCCTTGGTGAAATTTACTCATATTTTATTCTTTCTGATGCTGTTGGAAAGGCAATTGCTTTTTTAATGACCTTTTTGGATTTTTCATAGTGTATAGCAATGCCACTGATTTTTGTGTGTTGATCTTATATCCAGCATCTTTGCTGAATTCATTTATTAGCTCTAATAGTTGTTTTTTTAAAGTAGATTCTGTAGTATTTTGTACATATAAGAACATGTCATCTGTAAATATGAATAGATGTACTTCCTTTCTGCACTAGAGGCCTTTTACTGTTTTCTTGCCTAAATTCTCTGGCTAGAAATTTTGAACAGGGTAATTTTGTATACTTTTGAATGGAGATGACAAAAGCCAGGTTCATGGTCTTGTCCCTAATTTTAAGGGAAAAGCTTTCAGTCGTTCACCATTGAATATGTCAGTTGTCCTTCATGCCTAAGAAACTTTTCTATTCCTACTTCCTTGAGTGTTTTTATAATGAAAGGTTGTGGGATTTTGTCAAATGCTTACTCTCTGTCAATTGAGATAATCAGGTGATCTTTCTCCTTCATTCTATTGATTACACTGCTTTTTAAAATGCAAATACTGTTTACTGGTTTTCTATTGGTTTGTTAATTTGGGATATGGTACATCTGTATTTAGCCTTCTGCCTTAACCTGCTTAACTCTATTCAGTGAATGTTCTATTTTAATGCCCTTGATTCTTGCCTATTAAGAAAAACAAGTTCACGTTTTGGACTTAGATCTAGGTATATTTACTAATGTAATACCTAACAGATAAAGCCCATAATGCCAAGGCAATTTATCAAAGAGTTCCTTCCATCCTCATGGATTTGTAATGTTACCTCATATACTAAATCCCCATCAATACTGGGCCCTGTATTCTAGGTCTGTGTTCTGTTATGCTGACCTGTCTGTTGACCTCTGCAACAATAGCGGGTTTCTCCAAATACTGTAGGTTTTTGTTTGGTTTTGTCTTTTACCATTTTAAAGTGTATAATTCTGTAGTGTTAAGTACACTCAAATATTGAGCAACCATTACCACTGTGCACTTACTTCCAAGACCATTTTACATTCTCACTCAGAATATATGAACAATCCAGTTTCTCTGCCTCTTCACCAGCATTTGGTATTGTCACTTAAAAAAATTTTAGTTGTTCTAATAGGTATGTAGGATAACTTGTCAGTCTTAATTTGTATTTCCCTACTGGTTAGTGATATTGAAATCTTTTCATATGTTTATTTTCCCTCTGCATATCTTCTTAGATGAAATATCTCTTCTGATCTTTTCTCCACTTTGTAATTTTTTTTTTTAATGTCGAGTTTTGAGAGTTCATATTCTAGGAGAATCCTTTGTGAGATACGTGGTTTGTGAATATTTTTACCCAGTCTGTTTGGTTTTCATTGTCTTAACTGCATCATTCACAGAGCAAAAAAATTAAAGTTTAAAATTTTGATGAGGTCTAGTTTATTTTTTTTACTTTCATAGGTTATGCTCTTGGTGTCATACCTAAGAACTCTACTCTATATTTTCCTAAGTTCTATTTCATTCTTTTAGAATTTGCTTTGATATTTTTGCTGTTATCATTACATAATCATTAGTATTTTGTATTACACAACTAAATATAAATCTGTGGGTCTCATTCCTTTTTCTTTTTGCTGGCTGTTTTTCATGATGGTTTTTACTTTATGTTTTTTATTTTGTTTTACTGGGTCATATTTATGAGGTTTTTTTTTTTTTGGTATCTTCTGTTGATGGTGCCTTCTTTCAGAGACAATTTATGATTGCTTTGGTTCTGTGCTTAGAATTTTGACTCAAGCCTATTTAACCTAAATTATTGTCTTCATGTTCTTCATACCTATCAGATTTGGTGAATTTAGGCTGTAAACCTGAGGACCAGTTTGTTGTTTTGAATTCTCAAGGGATATGTTCTTTCCCCCTTATTCTTAGTGTAGATGCTGAGAAAGGCAATTCTCCTTGAAGTTTCCGGGGGATGAGTGATGGCAAGGTTGATAGGTTTATTTTTTACTCACCCTTATATTTAAGTGTATCCTTTTTGTAGTAGGATTTTGCAGGGTGATTTCATTAGACTATGTAACTTGAGCAGATTCTGGGCCATGTCTCCTGTCTTTTGTATCTTCTTAAGATAGAGAAAATAGAAGATCAGGATCACTAGGGTTGAGCAAATGCATTGAAAATGAATGGTTTCTATAGATCTTTGCTTAGTAGATCTGGGCTCCTGCTGTGACTTAGTTTTTGGTCGAAGTATTCCTTAGTGTTTTGCCAGCTCATGTAGTTTTCAGTAAAGTTTAAAAATGATTTTAAACACCGCTTAGTTATTTTTTCCAGGTCATACTATGTAAAACAAGCAACTGTTTCATATCTTTTCCAAGCCTTCCTTTCTTTTGCCCATAATGTTTCTTTGCCCCACTTTGTAGTTCAAGATCCATCTCAGGGGTCATTCCCTGTTAGAGGCTTTCCCTAACATCCCAGTTTGAACTAGAGGACTCTGCCTCATTCTTTCTTACCACATTGTATTGCAGCTTTCTCTTTCATTCCCTCATTGCCTGTGAGCTCTTTGAGGGCCAGACTAAGTTGTTATTTATTTTTTTTAATCTCTCTGTTTTTTGGTCTGGCAGAGAGCCTGACACCGGTTTACTCTGAACATCTGTTGATAGTAAATGGCGTAAGTTATAACCCAAATCATAACCTGGCTTTCTCTATTTAGGACTATAAAAACAAACACAGAAAGAAAGGAGGCAGGCACACAAATCCTTGGTATTCTAACTTTCATATCATACACCTCTTAAGGATATTCTATATACTACTGAAAACCAGCCTTTTTGTCAGAAATTAAACTGTTGATTCTGCTCAGTAATTTCATTGCTAACTGATGCAGGAAAACCCAGGTCTGGTTCCATTATGAGGGCTCCACACCCTTTAGAGGCTGGTTTCAGGTGGTGGGTGGAGTGTCCTGGGAGGATGCAAAAATTAATGTGAGAGGAATTTGTTTGCTTTCCTGGAACCCATATTGCTTTCCAAACAGAAAAACGATCTCCATTCCCAGGGGTGTATGTAGTTTTGTTGAACAATTGGGATCTTGGGTGGCTAGACTGCTCTAATTTTGATGCATCTTGGTGATTTTTACAGGACTCTTCTCAAGTCTTCAATTTTAGCGTAGTAAACAGGAAGCACTTCTGTCCAATAAGTAGTAAGCTTTCTATCCCTAATGTACCGAGAATTTTTGAAATGTACATAATTCCTAGTTTACAGAACTTTTCATGTTGTGTGCCTTCATCTTTTTCTTTTAAAGTTAAATTGTAAGTTTTACATATTTGTGTTCAGCTTTTTTGTATTATTAACTCGAGCGTGTGTGGGCGGCAGCATAAAGGACGCTCTTAGTAGGCAGAATTCATGCTTTGTTGACTCCGCCTTAGATCTGCCCAAGGTTATAGAAAACCACTCTGTCTTTGTTTTGTTCAGAGATGCAGGGTTCTAGCTTTTGTTCTTTCTTAAGCTTTCGGTGGCCAGATAATGCACACATCTATTTTATCACAGTTAACCATTCTTATTTTATAGCTGTGAAAAGTGCGGCTCAAGTTCAGTGTCGTGCTTTGGGTGCCTCTGGGATTCCAACTCAGGTCACCGCGCCCTCGTTTT